TAATACAACGAAAGCAAATTCAAGCCAGGCACAGTACAGCTAGCTACACCGCTAGCTAGCTAGCTAGCTAGCTACACCGCTAGCTAGCTGCATCGCTAGCTAGCTGCATCGCTAGCTAGCTAGCTACTCCGCTACCTAGCTAGCTACACCGCTAGCTAGCTATATCTCTCGGCGCACTGCCAGCTGCTTCTGCTGTTGCTGCTGTTGCTGCTGCTGCTGCTGCTGCTGCAGCAGCAGCTAGAGCTGCTGCAGGGTAGATAGAGTGTGGGGTGTACGTAGAGGGGAGGTGCCTATACACCCCAAGGTATACATGCACCTCGGCTTGGCTCTCTGCAGGTTTCAGGTGTATAGGCAGCTCAGCTGTACACAGAGCTGAGGTGTATAGGCAGCTCACAAGTACAGAGTGTTCGGGTGTATAGGCAGCTCGGGTGTATACGCAGCTGAGGTGTATAGGCAGCTCAGGTGTATGCGCAGTTGGGGTGTATAGGCAGCTCGAGTATACATAAACCCTAAACCCTAAACCCTAACTCGTAAACCCTAAACCCTAACTCGTAAACCCTAAACCCTAAACCCTAATATGAAGGAGATACTCTACATTTGTCTATTGACAAATAAATAAAAAAAGAGAATACAACATTTATTTATTTATTTATTTATTTTATTTTATTTGTTTGTTTGTTTGTTTATAATTATTTTATTTTTTATTTTTTTTATTTTTCTTTATTTTTATTTCCATCGCCCCAACTGCTCCAAAAAGGACCGTGCAGCAGCAGCAGCAGCAGCAGCAGCAGCTGCTGCTGCTGCTGCTGCTGTTTCTGATGCTGCTGCAGCATATACGTTGCATGCTGCTGTTACCGCAGCAGCAAGAGCAGCAGCAGCAAAAGCTGCTGCTGCTGCTTCTGTTGCTGCGGTGCTGCAGCAAGAGCAGCAGGTATATCGGCAGCCTTTGCTGCTGCTGCTGCTGCTGCTGGTGTTGCTGCTGTTACTACTGCTGCTGCTACTGCAACAACAGCAGTAAAAACTGCATCAAAAGCAGCAGCAGCAATTCCTCCTGCTGCTGCCTCCGCTTCTGCTGCCGCTGCTGCTGCCGCTGCTGTTGCTGCTGCTGTTGCTGCTGCTGCTGCTGCTGCTGCTGCTGCTTATGTGTTGCTGCAGCCGCTGCAGAACCTCGACTTTGTTGCTGTTGCTGTTTTGTTTATTTGGAAGCCCGCCTGGGGGTCTTGCTCCTTGCGGCTCCGTGGCAGACGCCCTGCGCAGCAGCAGCAGCAGCAGCAGCAGCAGCAGCAGCAGCAGCAGCAGCAGCAGCAGCAGCAGCAGCAGCAGAAGCAGAAGCAGCAGCAGCAGCATTAGGAGGGGGAGGAGGAGGAGTAGCAGCAGAAGCAGCAGAAATAGATAGATATAAGTTAGTACAAGAAACAGCAAATGCAGCAGCAGCAGCAGCAACAGCAGCAGCAGCAGCAGCAGCAGCAGCAGCAGCAGCAGCAAAATAGAAAACAACAAAGAAAGGAAACAAAAGGAGAAAGGGACAAAAAAAAAACAGCAGCAGCAGCAGAAAAAAAAAGCAAAACAACCACCGCCAGCAGCACCAACTAAACCCCCCAACCCCCAGCATTTCGTGTTCAGTATATAGTATTTAGGGTTTAGGGTTTAGGGTTTAGGGTTTAGGGTTTAGGGTTTACCTATTTCATAGAAAAGTTCGTTGACGTTTTGTCCTGTCTTTGCCGATGTCTCAATAAAAAATATACCTTGCTCATCAGCAAACTGCTGCGCCTCCTGCAGCAGCAGCAGCAGCAGCAGCAGCAGCAGCAGCAGCAGCAGCAGCAGGAGTAGCAGCAGCAGCAGGAGTAGCAGCAGCAGCAGGAGAAGGAGTAGCAGCAGCAGAAGGGGCAGCAGCAGCAGCAGCAGCAGAAGGGGCAGCAGCAGCAGCAGGAGTAGTAGTAGTAGCAGCAGCAGCAGCAGCAGCAGCAGCAGCAGAAGGAGCAGCAGCAGCAGGAGCAGCAGAAGGAGCAGCAGTGATTGCAGTAGCAGTAAGAGTAGCAGCAGCAGCAGCAGCAGCAGCAGTAGTAATCGCAGCAGCAACAGCAGCAGCAGCAGCAGCAATAGCAGCAGCAGCAGCAGCAATAGACAGGGGAGCAGCAGCAGAAACACCAAAAGCAGCAGCTACAGGAGAACAGCAACACCAAAACTGCAGCAGCAGCAGCAGCAGCAGCAGCAGCAGCACCCCAGCTCTAGCAGCAGCATAAACCCTAAACCCTAAACCCTAACCTGTGTCTTTACAACTCGCTCAGCAGCAAGATCTATTTTGTTGCCCGCAAGCGCTACGAAACACCATCACACAAACCCTAAACCCTAAACCCTAAACCCTAAACCCTAGACCCTAAACCCCAAACCCTAAACCCCAAACCCTAAACCCTGAATCACGTTCACTTATAACCCCAAACCCTAAACCCAAACCCCAAACCCTAAACCCTAAACCCTAGACCCTAAACCCCAAACCCCAAACCCCAAACCCTAAACCCTAAACCCTAAACCCTAAACCCCAAACCCTAAACCCAAAACCCTAAACCCCAACCCCTAAACCCCAAACCCTAAACCCTAAACCCCAACCCCCAACCCCCAACCCCTAAACCCTAAACCCTAAACCCTAAACCCTAAACCCTAAACCCTACTAAACCCTCGCTGACCCATAACAATAGAAGATTTATCGCTGACGGCCTGCAGCTCAGCAACCCAGGATTTGGCCCCCTCAAAAGACTCTCTGCTTGTTGTGTCGAACACTATCACTGCTGCTGCTGCACC